GTGACTACTTCTCAGGAGGCAGAAAATCTCCTCTGGAAACTCTTCTCTCGTTCTTCCCTCTTTCCTCCCTTCCTCCCCGCCTCTCTATCAAACCCACTCTCCTTTTCTGGAGTTCAAGCTGTTAGTGCGAGGGACTCTCGCCCCAGGACCTAGCTCAGCTCCGCCGCCCGAGGTCGCCCAGACATGTGCGGGCGCCTTCCTGCACGCCACTGCCCCCTGGCGGACGAAGCCGAGAGCGACCTGGCCCCGGGGTTGTAGCGCACCCCTGCTGCCAGGCGGCGCGGGGCGGACCCCGTCCAGGCTGGACGCCGCCTTTGCCAACTCGCGCGTCCGCCCGGCTCCGTCCCTCCTCTCGCTGTCCTGCCACATCTTCCTCTGCTTCCCACTCGGGGGACCATGTCGCGGCTCAGCTGGGGATACGGCGAACACAACGGTGAGCGAGGGAGGGCTTTGCTCCAGGGGGCGGCCGTGGGGGACAGACCACACACTGCTGATCTCGCACTTGCGAGAAACTTTTTGGTTCGTCTTTAAATTGAGCAGCTTTCCCCTGAGCCGAATGCAGGAAGTAAAGAGAGGGCTCAGTCTTGTGAAGACAGGAAAAGCGTCTTTTGGAGGGTGTTGGTAGTGAGGGTGAGAGTTGGTGTGTGTTAGCCCTGTGAAGATTCCCCCAGACCACGAAATCTTCGTGTATGTCCATTCACTTTCACTTGAAAAGCCGAGCACTTTCCCTAGTAATAACTACTTATCAATAAAGGCACGGAGATTAGAAGTCTGATGACATACTTTAATGAATCGAGGGCAAGTTCGCTTTCAGTTTTTTGAGTTCATTCGTAGGAAACAAATCATGGAAAACATTTGAAGCTATACTTAAGAAATTTTAATAATTGAATCACAATCCTGAAGATTGAAGTTGCCTTCTTGGCAAATGAAATACTGCATATATCTTAATAGCTGTTACTATAAAATATTGCCATGGTAATTTGCAGTTGGTTGACTGGTACTGTTAGCTTTAAGGAGGTCTCAGGTTCTTTCTAAAAAAATAAAGTTATGCTTTGGACCACTTCACTCTTTCTCCCTCTCCCACAATCATCCTTGCATAGATAGAGGATTAGCAAAGGATTATTCAAATTTTAACATGTTGGCAAAAATGGATTTATTGATGGGAGCAGCAGTAATAATATGTATACTTGTCTTCTTCTATATACTAAATCACCAAAATAACCATAATTTGAAATAACTGCACAGTGAACCAAGAAGCCTTACAGTGAATCAGTGTCAAAATTAGATCTGTGAATAATAATAATAATAATAATAATAATACTTTCCTTGGATTAATGTGCATATTATTGAATAGTACCATATAGTCAAATTTTAGAGTAAGTTTACTTTCACCAAGAAACTTTCACAAAGAAAGCTTTTCAGCTTCATTTCTAATTGCAGCCTTCTTGAGGTTATGATTAACTTGCCAGTTTAAAATGGCAGCAGGTGAAATTTAGAACTTTAATAATAAAACATATAATTTAGATGAATTTCTTTTTGACTGAGACTGTAATTATAATCTCACACTTTGCTAATTTCTAATTTATGTTTGGGAAAAAAACCCACAAAAAATTTCTTTTAATTTCCCTCTGTGCTGGAATAATTTTAATTTCTGTCATTTCATAGTTACTGGGTGTCAACCGTGCCCTCGCAATAGTTAGGAAGAAGAAGGGTCTTTTCAATCAATGAGTACTGATTACTCTTTAATACATTTATTTGTTAGAAAATGTTGGCCCCAGTGAAACTCATCTTCAGAAATGTAAAAAATCTATCTTTGAAAAGCCATTACTAAGGAGTGATTTTGTATTTCTGCTAAGAATTGTAGGGCCATTTCCTGGTTTTTGATGCAATAGCTTTCTGAGGACTATGCCTGTAAGTAAATCAACTGTGGCAAAATGCTACTGGAGATGTGTTGTATCCTGACTGGGCAAGTTTAGTTGCTTGTTTTCTGTTTAGGCTGGCAAAAGCAGTGAATGAGCAGATAAAAGGAAATTTAAACAAGGTGTAGTAGCAACAATAAAATGGAACACCAAGAGTTGAGCCATTGGAAGGGGGTACCACCTTCACCAAATACTTAAAAGTTCTTCCACTAACCTGTGGTAGTTTTATTGGTTTAGTTTAGGGAATGTAGCAGTTACTGAAAACTGCATATCTGTAGATATTTAAAAGTTCTTCAGTCAATGGAAGAATCACCATTTATTTCTACTTAAGAACTGTGTTCAAATGGGTTTAAAGTTGAATGTTTTGGAAACATTCATTAAAAAGGAGCTTGTTTAAGAGGCAGGAAAATGAACCGACTATAGCGGTTAATAAATAATATTGAGTAATTTATGCAAAACGTTATTATTATTATTATTTTTAAAATATTTATTTATTTTTGAGAGAGAGAGAGAGGGACAGAGCGTGAGTGGAGGAGGAACAGAGAGAGGGAGACACAGAATCTGAAGCAGGCTTCAGGCTCTGAGCTGTCAGCACAGAGCCTGATGCGGGGCTCGAACTCACAAACGGTGAGATCATGACCTGATGCTGAAGTCAGATGCTTAACCAACTGAGCCACCCAGGCACCCCAAAGCGTTATTATTTTTGTTTTATTTTGGTTTGCCTCTGCTTTTCAAAATTATTCTTGTTATAAAGGACTGGAAATAGGAGAGAAGGAATTAGGAGGAGACAGAAACTCTTTCCTAGTTGGAAAAAAGTCAACAACAACATTTCATGATACATGCATTACATATTTGAAATTTAATTCTGGTTAGGTTGACTCATACTTGATGGCAGTGAAATAGAAAACTTTTTTTCACTTAAAGAAAGGACTAGATTGTACACAGAAAGAGTACTAGAAAGGTAAATGAGAGTACTCAATAAACCAGGAAATGTAATGCCTTCTCTGTAATAAGTAGGCAAAGACTTTTGATGTTCAAGTTGTTTTGAAGTCCAAAATGTCAGATTCCCTAGAGAAGAGCTTTTAAGTTATGTGAATGGTTGTATATTCATGCTTTGAGTTTTTGTAACTGATGCATATGTGAAGGAAAGAGCGTAAGCTTTCTCCTTTGCAAAATTTAAGAGTACTAAGGAGCGTTAGATTTAGAGATTGAAGCTGTTGATAATTGCGATGTGTTTGTATTTCTTGAAGTTTCATTCTAAATCTTTAAAAATATTTGTTGTCAGTAACAAATGTTTAATTGTCATGCTGTCTCAGTAACATTTGTTTTAATGTTTATTTATTTATTTTGAGAGAGTGAGAGCGTGCATGCAAGGGGTGGGCCACAGAGAGAGAGAGACAGAGAGAGAATCCCAAGCAGACTCCACCTTGTCAGAGCATGAAGCTCCATCTCGCAAACTGTGAGATCATGGCCCGAGCAGAAATCGAGAGTTGGATGCTCAACCAGTTGAGCCACCCAGGCACCCCCAGGCTGTGCCATTTTAATAAGTACTTGAATATTAGAGAAATCAAGTTAGTGAAGTAGGGAAAAGCTTAGTCAGTAGCCCTGTGCTCTGCTGACTTGGTGGTAGCTGTATAAATTGCAGGCATAGTAGACAATAAGAACCTCTAACCTGTAAAGTGACTACGCACACCTGTAAATGACTTAGAGATTTACCTGAAGCTGCAGTCTTGCTGTTGATTTGGGGAGGCAGAACTTGAATCAAGTCTCCCAGAGAAATGAACAGTCTAGACAAGGGAATTGCCTGCTTATTGGTTCATATCAGTTTACCAGACGTGTGTCTGACTTGGGGACTTGTTGCAATTTTGACTTTTTTGAATAGAGGATCAGGATGACCATTTTCCCTTGTGTTGGAATTCAAATATAACATTGGCAAAATAGCCACAGAAAGAACTTCAGAAATGTTCAGAGAAAGAAAGAAATTGTTACCTGACTCCGCTGAAGATAATCAACAATATTACATTTCCTGACATGGTGCCGCCATTTTATTTGGATTATACTATGTGAAAAATTTACATATTTCCTTAGTATGCCTGTTGGACATTGGAGGTAGCTGAGTTGAGGCCTGGGTGACACCTGAACATACCAGTGAGTGATAGAAGAAAGAAGTAGGGATAGCATTTTTTTTTTTTAAGTTTATTTATTTATTTTGAGACAGCAGGGGAGGGGCAGAGAGAGAGAATCCCAAGCAGGCTTCACATTGCCAACATGGAGCCCGATGCAGGGCTCGAACCTATGAACCGTGGAATCATGACCTGAGCTAAAATCAAGAGTCAGATGCTTAATCAACTGAGCCACCCAGACACCTCAGGGATAGCATTTTTAAGAACTGCACCCTTTTTTCACTACACAGCTTTCTCAGTTTCATTCGTTCTTTCATCTTAAGAACTTGGAGACCTCTGGAGCTACCACAGATCTTTCTTGGAGCTGAGACTAAATCTCATTGTTTTCAATGATCAATTATGCTATTGTTTTTAGTTTGGTGGAAAGGCACCTTTGGAAAGTACTTTTTAACCCTTAAACGGTTTTTTTTTTTTTTTTTTAAATTTTTTTTTTTCAACGTTTATTTATTTTTGGGACAGAGAGAGACAGAGCATGAACGGGGGAGGGGCAGAGAGAGAGGGAGACACAGAATCGGAAACAGGCTCCAGGCTCTGAGCCATCAGCCCAGAGCCTGACGCGGGGCTCGAACTCACGGACCGCGAGATCATGACCTGGCTGAAGTCAGACGCTTAACCGACTGCGCCACCCAGGCGCCCCATAAAACGGTTTTTGTTGCAAGGGTTAGTTTAATGCTGCAAATGAGTTAAGCAAACCAGGAGGTTTTCATCCTATAATAAAAGCACCCAGCCTTGTAAAAAAAAAAAAAAAAAAATTAGATGCAAAGATCGTGAGGATGAAGATCTTATTTTATTAATCCTTTTTATTCCTTCAGCTCAAGCACAGTGCATTGTACTCAACAAATGTTTGGGGAATGAAGTAACTTACTTAATCCTTTTCTTTTGGTCCTATATATTTAAGGTCCTATTCATTGGAATAAATTTTTCCCGATTGCTGATGGGGATCAGCAATCTCCAATTGAGATTAAAACCAAAGAAGTGAAATATGACTCTTCCCTGCGACCTCTGAGTATCAAGTATGATGCAAACTCAGCCAAAATCATCAGTAATAGTGGCCATTCCTTCAGCGTTGACTTCGATGACACAGAAGACAAATCAGGTTGGTTCTTTTTTTTTGGTTGGGGGTGTGTGTGAGGTGACTGCACTGTGATTTCTTATCTTTCATATATAAAATACCTATGTATTGTGTGTTCCTTATTAATACTTTGCTAGAACTTGTAATAAAAGCTTTGTTTGACTGTTTCATGGGATAATGTCTTTCACACTGTGAATAAGTCATGGACCAACCAAATAAAACTTTAGTTTATGTGTTAATTTGATAACCAAATGAGGTAGAAAAAGAGAATTTCCTTAAAATGGACATTGAATCCTTCTTAAAGCATATCAACTGCCCAAAAAATGGATGATATCCAATTTAAAGTTAAGATGAGAGAGAAGATTAGAGAGAATTGAATTTTGGAATAATTCTTAAGGCTTCTGACAAATTATTTTCATTTTTAGTCTAATATTAGGATGATGTTGTATTTGCTCTGTTAATAAAAATATAGTTAAATTATAATTTTTTTTACATTTATTTATTTTTGAGAGACAGAGAGAGAGAGCATGAACAGGGGAGGGACAGGGAGGGAGGGAGACACAGAATCAGAAGCAGGCTCCAGGTTCCGAGCTGTCATCATGAAGCCCAATGTAGGGCTCGAACCCACGACCCGTGAGATCATGACCTGAGCCGAAGTCAGACACCCAACTGACTGAGCCACCCAGGTGCCCCAAAAATATAGTTAAGTTATGCAAATCCTAAATTGGAAAAAGATTTTCACTTATTCATTAATCTCAGAATAGGTTCATAATAATATCCTGTATTTATGTGATACTGTATTGTTAGCAAAAATTACAAGCTCATAAAATTTCTTTCTCATATTTGTCAAATTCATAAAAGATACATTTTCATCAGAGCACTGTAAAAAATATACAGAAAAGGATTAACATGCTATTTTTAACTTTCATGGGGAGGAAGGACCTCACTTTAAAAAAAAAATTATTTATTTTGAGAGAGAAAGAAAGAGAGAGAGTGGGGGAGGGGAGAGAGAGGGAGAGAGAATCCCATACAGGCTCTGCACTGTTAGTGCAGAGTTCTAACAGTGGGCTCAAACCCACGAACTATGAGATCATGACTGAGCTGAAATCAAGAGTTGGACGCTTAACCGACTGAGCCACCCAGGAGCCCCCAGACTTCACTTTTTATATACTATATTCAATTGTCTTTCCTTTAAGCCCTCAGTTTAATGCTTCTGTATTAATAGATATGGTTGATGCAATGGGTAAATTATAAATAGTCCATGGCTTCTGAGTATAAAGGCTTTACCACCCATAATTGTAGTTTGATACTGTTTGTGTCTTAAACATAAAAATTTGAGGCTAACCACTCCTGCTGTTACAATAAGAAATGATTAAATTTACATCACCTAAAACTTTAAGTTTTTAATTTATAAATAAATGTAGGCAGCCTTAGTCATAGAAAATTCCTACTCTAATTTGCTTGATGATGATCTAGGTTTCCTGTCTCTCCCTCGCCCTTTTTTCTCCCTCTTCCTTCTGTCTTCCTCTCTCTGCCTCTTTCTCTCTTCCTCTCATTTTCCTTCTACTTTGAGTTAATCTGGGGGAATCAGTTTATGTTTCCAGATTTGACACTTTGTCTGTGATTGGTAGTGTGTCCCTTCTCCCATATGTGAAGGTCTAGTTCCTATCTAGATCACAATGAAATTACCAGAGTTAATTGGAAATGTCTGTAAAGTACTTTGTACCCCTCTGAGACAGAAACTACATAAATATGGGTCATGATTCTCATTCTTTTTTCTCAAGATAAATAAAAAGAGAATGTTTTGTGGTGATTCTGGGTATTTAATCAGTTAAAAAGTAGAAACCAGGGGCGCCTGGGTGGCGCAGTCGGTTAAGCCTCCGACTTCAGCCAGGTCACGATCTCACGGTCCGTGAGTTTGAGCCCCGCGTCGGGCTCTGGGCTGATGGCTCAGAGCCTGGAGCCTGTTTCCGATTCTGTGTCTCCCTCTCTCTCTGCCCCTCCCCCGTTCATGCTCTGTCTCTCTCTGTCCCAAAAATAAATAAACGTTGAAAAAAAAATTAAAAAAAAAAATAATAAAAAGTAGAAACCACTATAGTTAAATTGTTGTTGATTTTTCTTTTTCTTTGGTAAACTATAAGAAACACAAACTTTCTACAGCAAACCACTTTAATTTGAATAAAACAGTTTCTATTTTGTAAAGAAGCCATTCTTGGCCAAAATTAACTCTGAATCCCACCAGTAAGAGGGCAGAGGCACCTGGGTGCCTCCGTTGGTTAAGCCTCTGACTCTTGATTTCAGCTCAGGTCATGATCTCACAGTTCATGGGTTTGAGCCCTGCGTACAGCCCAGCACTGACAGTGTGGAGCTTGCTTGGGATTCTCTCTCTCCCTCTCTCTCTGCCCTCCCCTGTTCAAAATAAATAAATGAACTTAAAAAAAAAAAAGGAGAGAGAGAAACCACAGGCATGAAACTATCCTCACGGTCCTTGTAGGACTTCTTTGGCTGGGCAGTTGCATTCCCCGTGGTTAACGTCTGGTGAGCCACCCTTTAGAATTTAATAGTCCTTTACAGAGGGGGTAGGAAGTGATGATATTTTGGGGGAAGAATTCCTCTTGGCCATAGCAGAGGGTAAATAGTAATCTGGTAAAGAAAGACAAGGGCATTCTCACCCTAGCTACTGGTCTGTGTACTCAGACAGGATCTCACCTCTCTGGGAATCTCACCTGACTGGCCCCACAACTCCTCCTGTAACATCCCCGCTTGTCCCATCCAGAGCTCCCCACACTGCATTGTAACTGCTAGCTGGTTCTTTTCCCATTCAGCTGAATGCTCCCTGTGGACAACAGCTCTGTCTGACTCCTGTGTCTAGCATAGTGCCTTGCACACAGTAGGTACTCAATAAATGTGTGTTTAAGTTAAAAACATTTTTTTGGTGTAATGTTTCTTGGAGGATAGAAAATTGATATGGCGGAGTGTGTAGGTGGCCCTGTAGGTAAGTGAAATCAAGAGATTCAGCTCAGGTCATGATCTCACAGTCCTGGTATCGAACCTCGCGTCAGGCTCCGCACTGAACGTGGAGCCTGCTTGAGATTCTCTCTCTCTGCCCCTTCCCAGTGCTTGTACTCTCTCAATAAAAAATAAGTAAATAAAATAAAATAAAATAAAAAAGAAAATTGATACAACATTCCATTTGACACCTAAGTAGTTTAAATTATAATTATTTTTAAGTTTATTTATTTATTTTGAGAGAGACAGAGACAGCGCGAGTCAAAGAGGGACAGAGAGAGAGGGAGGCAGAGAGAGAATCCCAAGCAGGCACCACGCTGCTGGCACAGAGCCTGATGCGGGGCTCAAACCCACAAACCGTGAGATCATGACCTGAACCAAAAGCAAAAGCCTGACCCTTAACCAACTGAGCCACCCCGGTGCCCCTGACATCTAACTAGTTTAAACATTAGTGGATTATTCATTGCTTGAATGTTTAATTATTATTATTATTATTAAAGTTTTTTTATTTTTGAGAGAGAGAGAGAGACAGACAGAACGTGAGCAGGAGAGGGGCAGAGAGAGAGGGAAACACAGAATCTGAAGCAGATTCCAGCCTCCAAGCTGTTAGCTCAGATCCTGACCAGGCTCGAACTCATGAACCGTGGGGTCATGACCTGAGCTGGTCAGAGACTTCACTGACTGAGCCATGCCATTCAGGCGCCCCTGAATGTTTAATCATTAAAGGCTGTTGTAGTGATTGTTACATGTTAATAAATGAAAATTCTTGGAATATAGTAAGTACTTAATAACTATTAATAACAAACTGATAATAATAAGACATAGTAAATAACAGGCCTGTATCCTTTCCATGTGTAAGATATGTTGTGCTGAAATCTTTTAAAGATGTCAAAAGGAAGGAAGCTAGTTTCTTACTGAGAAAGGCCTTGTAGGAAAACCAGTGACATGATGGACTCAATGCTTATTCTTTAATTTTCACCTCTAGAAATTGTCAATTTCTTAGTTACGCTCTAGTTATTTAGTTCTAGTTATCTGGTTGTAGGTAACTGCCTGAAATCAACCAAATTCACAAGATCTGAAATTATACATTAGAAAAGAGAAAAAACATAAAAAGATATGGGAGAAGGATGCCTTAGTTTTGTGATTCCTCCAAGAACCAAGATCTCCAGGAAACTGAATTGGTAATTTGTGACAATGTATACATTACAAAACTATCATAATGATGTTTCCTTCATTAGGCCTAAGTCCCTTGAGGATAAGGATGACCTTACTCATCATCCCATACTTAGTATTGAGCATAGTTGCTAGCCCATAGCAAGGTATTCAGAATTGTTGAATGAATAAGCAGAGAGTAACCTGGTGTGCATATGCTCAGAGCAAAAGAGGCCAGACTTAATGAAGACTTTCCTGGCTCCATAAAGAATTCAGGCCCCACTGACTGGAAGCATTTATGGCTTTGGTCTCTCTCTCTCTCTCTCACAGTATAATCCTGGCAGATTTGTGCCCTTTGGTTCCTCTTTTCCTAGGGTCCAAGCAAAATACATGTGCTATTCATTTAGCTTTGTTTCGGAGAACTGTTTACCACACAGTGATTAGTCTATGACTTTCATTAGATTCATAAGAACATGTTCTCTAGTGGTTCCCAGGTCACTTACTCAGTAGCCATCTTATAAGCTGAAGTTTACAGAGACGTGCTTCTACAGGTGAGGTCTCTTGTTTTATGTTCTTAATATTTGTTGGTGCAGACACTGTCTTAAGCACTAGAGATACAAGAGAACAAGACAGATTCTGCCTTAGAAGAGTTTGTATCCTGGTGGGATAGACAGTAAATGCATGCATAGACAAGTGTGTTAATTTTTAAATTATTTTCTTTCTGATTTTGTTGCAAGCCTTGGTTACCATTTAAGGCCATTGGCTACAGTGTGGTTTCAGAAAAGAAGCAGTTACCAACAATTTAAAAAAGTCAAACTCAATGGAGTAACATATACATTCTAGTTTCACAACATTGTTGGTCTTTGCAGCATATAACAAATGACAAGGATTCTTTTATTAAGATAATAAAAAGTTCCCAAATTTTAATGGCACTTAACTCTGATTGCTTACTCTCTGTGGACCTCTTATATGAGTGTTTTATTTGGAATAGATTTTTAAAAAATTCTGAATGAAAGGATAAGTGGACTATATATGTATACCAAGTATGATTTGGGAGAAACAATTACTGTTTTCGGATATAAGATGGAGACAATAATATTTAGTTACTCATCTGGATTACAGAGGAAGGTGAATGATTTGATGCTTGAAAACACTAACTCATTCCCCCTAAAAATAATTTTTGTTGCCATTGTTCATTTTATACTATAGTTATGTTATTTTATTATAGAGTATCTTAAAGCCAGTGATAAATTAACCTTGATATTTTGACTTACTTTTCCCCATCCTGTGGGAAGCTTTCTTCAGAAGAGCTCTGTTCTAAGAGAATGTTTTCTTCACACGTAGACAGTTGCTGATCATGGTCCCAGTTTGGATATTTTATTTTATTATTTTATTTTATTTTATTTTATTTTATTTTATTTTATTTTATTTTATTTTTAACATTTATTCATTATTTATTGAGAGATAAAGGGAGAGAGAGAATCCCAAGCAGGCTCCATGCTGTCAGCTCAGAGTTGAACATGGAGCTCAAACTCATGAACCATGAGATCATGACCTGAGCCGAAATTAAGAGTTGGACACATAACCAGCTGAGTCACCCAGGAGCCCCCAGTTTGGATACTTTAATTGAAACACTCACGTGTGGAGTCCAAATATGTAGAGTGTAAGGCAATCTTTGTTGCTTAACTAGCAGAGCTATGCTAATCTGGCTTTAAACCCTGGATTCTGAGCAGGCTTTCCAGAGATCAGCCATTATTCTTGGATGTTTCCCTAACAATGTGTGTTTTTTGGTATCATTTTCTTTCTCCTGAGCCAGCTTATTTGCATCTTCTCCCAAAGTTAATTCCACATTGATTACTCAAGCTCTGTAATGTGCCTTTTATCTGTGAAGGAATGACTTTATGTTTCAGCTCAGGTTTTATGCTACTGCTGCAAAAAAAGAAAGGACAATAGAATTGTTGATTTCTTTTCATTTGGAATGCCACTGTATCCATGCTGTATGGAGTCACTTAGGGAAATTTGCCTTTTAAATTAATTTATCTGTGAATGATCTTTGAAAATGTTTGTTTAAAGACAAATCAAATGTTTTATTCATTCATTCATCGAATATTTATCATACATCTCCTCTGTGATAGGTTCCATGCTAGATGATGGGTACAGCAGTGATCCAGTTGGACAGAGCCTCTGCCCTCATGAACACTGTCCAGTGGGAGACTCAAAACCCTAACATTACTCTGCTTATAATGGTGTAACAGAAGAGCAAGACTTAGAGTCTGATGTAAATGGTTCTTCTCTTTAACTTTTCAGAGGATTTTGGAAATAGCCATCTTTGGTTATTTAAAAAAAAAAAAAACTGGATCCAAATAAATCTAAGGGAAGTTCC